ATTAGCTCTTTATATAGATAATTATTATCACAATTCAGTGGCTTTTGTATGTCTTAGCAATAAAATGTGAGAATATTATATGAAAAAGTGTATTCATGGTTGCAACTAAAAATGTAAACAGTAAAATGCTTATTACAGTTTATAAAACAAAACTTAAACACATGGAACACTGTGTAAATTGCTTAAAAATTTAATTAGATGTCTCATTTAATTCCAATCTAAATTTCATCTGGAAATATAAAGAAGTGAACAATTAAAAATTTAAGAAGGAATAATGAGAGCAGTGGCCGATCCAGATAGTAAAGCGTATTATAATGTCAGAGCGATTTAAAACAGCGTGGTGTTGGCACTGCGGTTGACTGAAAGATCAGGGAATCTTCCAGAGCTCCAGATAGGCTCCAGGGACAGTGGTTTACAGTTTGGCCATTAGAGGGAATGCATATGGGGGCTCTGAGCACTCTCATCTCCACCTTAACAAGAATAGCTCTGCTTTTGTGGATTTTATATATTGAGTCCCAATATTTATTTGGTTTCACATCCAAAAGAGTTTTCATTGTCTTAATATACAGTGGAGGGTGACTCAGTAACCAAGATTGGCTTGTGAAACAAATTATGGTGGAGAATCTTGACTCATTTATAGGTAGTGGCACATAATAGCATAGTGTTTCACCATGCTACAAAATTGTAAATTCCAGATGAATTAACAAGTAAAAGCAGGGGTGCCTGGATGGCCCAGTTAGTTAAATGTCTTTGACTCAGGTCATGATCTTACAGTTTGTGGGATCAAGCCCCGTGTTGAGCTCTGCACTGACAGCTCAGAGCCTGTTTGGAATTCTCTCTGTCTCTCTGTCTCTCTCTCTCTCTCTCTCTCTCTCTCAGAGCCTACTTGGAATTCTCTCTCTCTCTCTCTCTCTCTGTCTCTCTCTGCCCACCCCCTTCTCACATGCACATGTGCATGCATGCTCGCTTGCTCTCTCTCTCTCTCGACCCCCAAAATAAATAAACATTAAAAAAAGTGAAACCATAAAAATATGAACAACCTGTTTGTAGATATTTGCATGCTCTCTGGATAAAAGGGATTTGTAAACATAGGACAGAAGTCACAGTGGAAAAAGCTGATGGAACTGTTCATGTCAAAATAGAAAACTTTGCATGTCTCCCAAAAATATCCCCATAAAGCAACAAAAATAATACCTATTATTAATATGCAAAACAATAAATAATATTTAACTACTTAAAGAGCTTTTTATACATTAATAAGGAAAAACAATATCTGGTATCATATCCCATATAATATTCATTTGGAAAAAAACTCTTTATTCTCATTAGTATTTACAGAAGTGTAATTAGAATAACAATAAGATATTACTCTTTTGACCTACTAAGTTGGCAAATACTACTAAAAGATAATGCTGGATACTGGCAAAGTTGTAAGAGAGGCAGATTTAGTTCTGCTTGGTGAGAGTATAAATTGTTAAAATCTTTCTGGAAGCGATTGGCAGTGTCTCAAGAGACATGACAGAGCTCACATCCTTTGACTCGGTAATACTCTAAGAATGTTACATTCAATATTTCCGTTATTAATTGAATTTTTAAAACAATATAAATGCCTGTTCTCGGTGAAGTGTTAATTATGATGCCCATTTTGAAGAATTCATATTATATGGAGGTAATTAAGATAGGTAATGATCGATGCACAGATCATAATATAATAGTTATATTAAATTGATATGTATGGATAGAAAAAAAGCTAGAAGGAAAACACAAATATTAGGAATGGTTAGTATTTTTGTTTGTAGGCCTATGGGTGCATTTTGTTTTCTATAATATAGATATGAGTTCCATTTTTCCAATTTTTACTATCTGAAAATAATATAATTTTGATGTTGATTTTTGAGAAAGAGAGAGAGAGAGCGTGAGCAGGGGAGGGGCAGAGAAGGAGACACAGAATCTGAAGCAGGTTCAGGCTCTGAGCTGTGACCACAGAGCCCAACACGGGTCTTGAATTCACAAACCGTGAGATCATGACCCAAGCCGAAGCTGGATGCTTAACCCACTGAGCCACCCAGCTGCCCCAAATAAGGTCATTTTAAATGATTATTATCCATGGAAAACTTTAGAATTATGTTTTATATTTTGTCATAATTAACATCATTATTACCCAAACCACTTTTAACTTGTCATGATTATCGGAAATATTTATTAGACCTCTATAATCTTCTTATAATTGTCTTAAAAATTGGGAGTCATGTTACTCTCTTCCCAGCTCGAATGCATCCTTGACCCTAGTTTCTAAAGAGGCAGGCACCAGACGGGAAACAAATTGGGGGAACGTCGAAAATCGAAACAAGTGTTGCATAACCATGAAGACCTATTCAAATATTAGTTGCATTGAAAATGTCGGGAAGGATAATTCAGAAAGTTGAATTTTGCAGGGCGTATGCAACGTGACACCTCATAGCCAAGAGAGTGTTGCGGCAACGGGCAATTCCTCAGTCTGCTGTCTGTATGCAGTTACTCAGTCTTCTGTTAGCCTGGGGTGCTGTTTCACTCTGACAGTGGCTTCTTCTCACTGTAGTGTTTGAGTATGGCTGCCTGTGAGTCTGATTGGTGTCTCCGCCATGTGTCGCATTATTTTGATGGTATCGATGTTTTGTTCTGTGAAGGTAATTTCCCTCTCTCTCCTTTGTTCTGTTAATGTTCACACAGCTAGTTCAGTGAAGCTTGTTCACAGCCAGGAACTCTCCTTCTCTGTCTCCCTTCTCTGTCTTGCAGGAATGGAGGGTGGCTTCTGGTGTTTTGTGGCTTCATCATTTCCTTCCTGCCTCTCATCCACTTCATGATGTAATTCTTGGCACTTTTACTTCCTTTGTAGAGTAGGATGTGATGTCATAGAGAAGGGGACAGGGCTATCCAAATTCTCTCAATTGCTGGGAGGAGCTGCCCAGGTGTGCTGAGGGGCCTGTACTCAGGAAGAGAAACAGGGAATCCTCCACAGTGAGTAACCCCACTTTTGAGTGCACCCAAATTTCCATTAAAACATTGCCCAGTACACTGGAGTTTCCTCTTCGGCCCTTTCTAGATTTAATCAGTTTGCCTTTTGGACATTCCCAGTTCAGCTCAATTTTCCTCTTTTTTCTCCCTTGTTCCCTCTCCCCGCTCTTTCCGCCATCCTGTGCCTCTCCCCACCAGTTTCCCTCTTCCTTGCTTGCTTGCTTGTGTATGTCTGTGTCTTTTGACCTCTGCCCATATCTTTTATGAGACCATGAGTGTGCCCAGCATTGCCTATCGTTTGGGATGATGCCCCCCCGTATATATAGTCCATGTGACCACAGCATCGCCTTTCAGTAATTCATAAGTACGCACTGTTCTACTTACAGTTCTTGTTTTGCAAATTCTGTCAGCTGTTTTGTTTTCATGTCTGTTTCTTTCCCACCTTTCTTTCTGATCTAATCGTCCCCTTTTCAGCTCTATGATCAGTTTCCTTCTTGCCTTTTTTTTTAACGAATATTTTTACACTTCAGCCCTCCTCCCTATACAGCTATGCCTATGTTTCTTTATCCCCCTTCCCAGTGTTCAGTTCAGCTCTCCAGCGGCCTCCTCTGTGAGGACAGGTTTCTGTCTTTCCTGCTGACACACCTGTTGCCATCCCCTCCTTCTAGTGTAGCTCACGTTTCTGTATTCTTCAAGGACAGACCAACAACGGCTAAGCGGCTGATCCAGACTGGGAAAGATGGGGACATTTCCTGGGAACTAGAGAGGGGAGAACAGGAAAGTGACCCTAATGGTGAACTGGGGCAGACTGTGTGTCAATCATTGGAGAACCTTGATGAATAGAACCTTTGCTAGTGACCTGGTTGAGATTTGGCCATTGTAGTAGGAGGGATCACACAGCTGTTTTGAACAGATTCAGAAGCCTTTTCAATTTTTTAGTTTTTAAGGTGGCCCTGTTAATTCTTAATAATTAGGATCATTCCAGTAAATCATCATAAATTAGAACTCTACAGTGTGCAGAAGCTTCTGTAGAGCATCTTTAAGTAGGTATTGTTTACCCTTGGAGGAAGTCATTGTGAAGATGTGTGTAGACTTTTTTCCTGTACCCAGAGGTGGCCCCTGTCATCTGTGCTGGTGACAGAATGGGCACTGTTGCTTACTGCTTTCCCACCATGTAGTCAAACCCCTGGATAAAGGAACTTGATTTCTGGGCCTGATGGTCTAAAGACTATGGAAATAATTAGCTATGTCCCATGTATCCCTTACACTTTGTTTAAAACAAGTCCCTTTCACTTAAAAATAGGAGGCCAGAAGGGGAGAGAAAGAAAAATGGGACTCAGTTCATAAAACTGAGATAGGCTGAATGGGAAGAGGAAGGGGTTTACTTGAAATTAACTGGAAAAGGCAGAAGAAAGGAAACTGAGCTGAACTGGAAAACACACACTGTAATGACTTACTTGGGTTTCTGTATGCTTTTTTCCATTTTTGCCATGAAGGAATTTTTTCCTCTTTTTTTTCCTAATACAAAAGAGGTTGATCAAAATGTGAATCCAGTGAGGTTATTTCTAACCAGCACTTTGTTCTCTGTTGGTATTGTCTGGGCTCCATGTTTCCAAGATCCTAGAAATTGAGGAAACATTTTAATGGCCTGAAAATCTGTCTTTAACTATAAATATGAGCAACTTTTAATAAAGGGAATTATATACATTTATTATCTTGGTTTTTTTATGTTTTCACATTTCTTTTTTTTTTTTTTTTTTTGGTGTGTATGCCTTTGTGACAATTTCTTGAAGAATGACCCTCATGTTGCAGAAATTGCCATAAATGTCCAGAAAAGAATTACATTCTCACTTTGGACACCTGAATTGTGTGATGGGACCTTATTTTGACACATCAGCCACTTCCCCTTTAAGACTTTAAAGAAGTATTGCATGATTCACACACTTTTCATTTGGTACACTTCCATGCAATAATCTAGGAATTTTATGTTTATTTTTATTTTTTAGGCACTAGAAAAACACCCCAACTCACCAATGACAGCGAAGCAGATATTGGAAGTCATTCAGAAAGAAGGGTTAAAAGAAACAAGGTCAGTATTCATATTTACATTTTCTATTTGCATTGATTAGTAATGCCATGAATTGCAAAGCAATAGATATATCTAGGTTTTGATATTGTAGTTGATTATGAATTAGGTAATTACCTGCAAATTCTTTTGGGATTGCCAAATATTTAGATGACCCAAGATTTCCTTGGAGCTGCCTGTTGGCTTAATAAATTACATTTGGCAGGTTAATATAGAATGTACTTTGTTCACATGAATTAGCCCTTCATTGGAGTTTCTCCTTGTTCTCTGTCTCTTGTAAGAGAAGGGTTTTGTTTCTGAAAATGAGTAAAGAGGAACACTTTTACAGGCTTAAGAGATAGATTCCAGCATCACTCTGATAAAAACTGAAGTGCCAATAAATGTGGTTGCAAATTTAGACCTCTTATATTTAGAATTCCTGTACTCTGAGTCTCATTAATCAGCTGTTGTGAGCCTTAAAAAAATAATAGTTTTATTGAGATATAAGTCATATACCATAAAATTCACCCATTTAAAACATACACTTCAGTGGACTTTTTTATATTTACAACATTGTGCAGTCAGCACCACTATCTAATTTTAGGACGTTTTCATCACCCCCTAAATGAAACCCCATCCCCATCAAGTAGTCATTGCCCATTCCCTACTCCCTCCAGTTCCTGGTAACCACAATTTGACTTTTTGTGTCTGCTTTGACTATTCTGGACATTTCATAGAAATAGAATTATATAGTATGTATGTAGCTTTCTGTGTCTGGCTTCCTTCGTTTAGCAAAATGTTTTCCAGGCCCATCCATGTGGTAGTGCGAATCAGTACTTCATTCCTTTTTGTTACCAAATAATACTCCATTGTACGAACGTATACTGCACTTTGCTTATCTGTGATTGGCCTCTATTTAGGACAATCTGTGATTGTCCAGATTTGACAGTTTGGGCTTGAGCCATCAGTTTAGGACCATGTTGATGATACTACTCAAGGAGAAAAAAGAAGTTTGTTACAAAGTATGGTAAACATTGAGCTATCATTTGAGTGCATAATCATCCATGTTACACAGAGTTAAAGTTTTTGTATGAACTTGTCTACTTACAAGCCATTGGCATACAGTAGCTGCAGCTTGGTGAAAATAAAGCTGCTGAGCTTCCTTTTGGATGTTTTTAATGACACTGAGATAAAAGTGAGAGCAATAAGTATCCTCCTGAGGCCAACTTTTCCTAAAAACAAATCAGTATTACCTGTAACTCCTACTACTGTAAAGGGTGAGTAACAACAGCTTCTAGCTGTTTAAAATGCATCATTTGTAAGTTTGATTCAGGAGCATCACAATTTAGAGGGGTGTGGGACACCTAGGCTCAAATTTTCATCTCTATGTGGGAGGCTTTTTCTGTCTGTTCTGAAGACAGAGCCTGAGATAATGTAATGACATCATTTGCGATCCTTGTTCCCCCAACAAACTGGAGGCAACAATGGGGAGAGAAGTTGCTGACAGAGCCTAACAGCTCTGGCAAGGATAATCCTGTTCTTCAAAGTCAGACATCAGTGTGAGGAGTTAGGGAACCAAATGGGGACACCTGCAAATTAATTTTCTCCTTGCTGCTGTCAAAAACCCTGAAAATATTTATGCCATTTAGAAGGCACTGAAAGTGTTTGTGCAGCAGCCAAAAGAAAAGAGGAGGTACAAATCTAAGGATATCAACTCCTCTTGAATATGGGCTCTATGCCAGTGGAATCTGCCAATGTAGACATAAAAAGCATCTCCTAGAAGAAGGCTTTTGAAATTTGTTCATTACGATATTCTTCTCAACAGGAGTGACTACTCTGTGATCAGTTGTTATGTACCTTAAGATATAAAATTCCTGTACCTTGCCTCTGAACAGCATTTTAATTACACTTAATTATTGTAACAGCATTATTTCCGATTTTTCAAAATGATGGTCTTCCCGGAATGGTATATTAAATGGCCTGTAAGCATACATAGTTAACAAAACACCAAACAGTGTCTTTAAAAAGTGAGGAACACTGAAATGGAAGACGTAACATGGAATATAGCCCTCCCTCTGCCCCCCTCCACCAATTACTGTGTCCTTCCATAAAGGGAAAAAACAAAACAAAACAAAACAAAACAAAAAAACCTGTTGTTACAAATACTGATAAACCAGTATGGCAATTGTGAAAGTACCTGCCACAAATTCACAAGTCAAATAGGCAAAGGTACAGGCAAAGAAAGAGGCCAGAGTTCCATTTAAGTTCTATTCTGTAAAATCACTTCTGCATTGAAGGCCTCCAACCATACAGTCTGTGTTCTCATTTCTTTCAACTTTCTTCTAATCTCTTCTCTCCTGCCAGTTGTGACCTGTTACATATGGCCAGTGTGTCTGTGACCACTCTTGCCTTGTTTTCTAGTTTGCTTATTATTTAGACTCATTTCAAAAATAAAAGTACATGATTTGAGTGATTTGGCTTTCCTACCTGTTATGTGTGTTGTTTTAAGGAGCAGATTCTGACATTTGTTTTCTCTACTTAATGTACTATTTTGCTACCTTCCAAGTTCTTAAATGTTTTCCAGATATTTATAGTAGCTGAGTAAACGAAGTATAACTGTATTTATTTTTCTTAAGTTACATTCAGAAATTCTGTCATCATCAGGTCATACGTAGCTGCTTAATTTCTAGGTCTTAATGATGTGTTTTGCAAGAAATGCAGATTTGTGACATACCCAATAAAATGGAAGGGAGTGATTGTGAAAGGTACCAAGGTGGCCATGACCTTCTGGTGGTCTCTGTGGGTGAGAGGTGATGGTAGTGGTCCTCCCCCAAACAGTTCACCCTTGTAACTACCATTTCTAGAAAAGAAAGAAGATTGTGTCTTTATTCATCATCATTGTGAACCTGGAATTAAAGTAACGCCATTTGTTTAAAGTACCATTGTGGCAGGGAGGGGGGGTGGGGTGGTCCTTCATTCTGTGTGCCAGGCAGCTCTCCTGTAGCACTGACATCACTGTCCTGTAATTTTGTCCTTGTTTGTCTACCTGTGCCCACTTGTGGGCTCTCCAATGGCAGGGTATCTCCAGCACTCAGCAGACAGTCAATAAGTATTTGTTGAGTAAATTATCTTTCTCAAGATGTTAATTTTCTGGGGGCTCCTGGGTGGCTCAGTCGGTTAAGCGCCGACTTTGGCTCAGGTCATGATCTCATGGTTCGTGAGTTCAAGCCCGGCATTGGGCTCTGGGCTGGCAGCTCAGAGCCTGGAGCCTGCTTTGGATCCTGTGTCTCCCTGTCTTTCTGCCTGTCCCCTGCTCATGTTCTGTCTCTGTCTTTCTTTCAAAAGTAAAATACGCATTTAAACAATTTAAAATAAATGTTAACTTTCTCATGCTTAGTGATGACTTTGATGACTTCTAACTTCCATTTAGAATTAGAAGCTTCTTTTTAACATATGTTGTATTTTTTCCATCTTATTTAATAGTTTGTATATTTTAATCAAAAGAAACCTAACAGTTTTGCGGGACCCCATTGAATATATGCATGCTAATAGTTTCTGGCAGATTATATGTGAGCAAGTAAGGTAATTGTGCGGTTGCCTGTTTTCAAATACTGTAAAAGTGCCTCTGGTTTAAACTTGTAATTTACAATAAAAATACACCAATAATTTTGGCAAAGCTGATACGAGTATTTGAATGTGTTCTGTTTATGTGATATTGTTAATTTATTTTACTGTGGTGAAATTCTTGACACTTTATGCTATCTTTTCCTCTCTTCAAGTGACACTTTAAATTGCATACTTTTCAAGTAGACATGATAAAAAGACGACAGCTTTTCCATATCATGCTCTGTGTATCTTTTTCATGTTATTGATGAAATGTGTAGTGTGTGATTAAATTCTATTTGGAAAAGCCAGACTGATATAAGTACTTTCCATGTGGCTTAAAAAAGGTCAGAAGGACATAGGGGTTTTGTTGAAGAAAAATAACGTGATGGCATGATTGTCTAGAATATTTAATGAAAATATATCTGGCAGGTTTTAATTCCCTTCTGTATAATGACAGAAGATTTTTATCAATATAGTTTTCCTCTGGTCCGTCTATATATTTGTTTTGCTGATTCCAAGTGAGTATTTCCAGGCTTTTATCACTTTGTGTTTATGAGTTGTGAACAATAAGACATAGCTGTTTGAAATGCTTTTCAGATGATCAGAATCTTAGAGTCAATCAAATAGCAAAGGTGCTTGTGTAGACGAGATTAAAATGTGTGTATTCCAATCTGCTTTTGTGGATGGATATTTGATATCCCTGTTTGGACTGCTTGACTAAATATATCCCTCCTCAGGGAGTTAGGGTGCTGCTGTAGAATATGGTCTTGTCTGCAGTAACTTTAGTATGTGTACTGCCAAAGTGAGCACCTGTCTCCAGTAATGAGAAATAGGTTCGTAGAAAAAGAGGAATAACTTTAGTTACCATGTTGGTTTGGATGACATTTGGGGTTGTCCTAATTCTGCTTTACTGTTTATGGTTTGCTTATTCAGAAGTTCTCATTCCTTTACAAAGAGGACTGAGGGGTTTTTGATGCCTGAGGATATGTTTTTCTCTGCTCATGTAATCTTTAAAGTGATCTTTCCAAAGAAGTATGTGCTCTCATATAGTGACATATTCAGGGGCGGCAAGGTCAAGGAGTGAGGCTTGCAGTCCTTACCTCATGAGAGCAGAAGAGACATTCATCAGTGAGGGATAATTTCTTATGTGCTGGGCACTATCATTACGAGATACTTGTTATTAATATAACATGAACCTTGATTTGGTTTTCATATTATTTGCTAATAGGCAAATAGTTTTCTAATGGAGGTAGAGGTATGGCGGTCATAAGACATGCACACTCACACTCACACTCACACACACACAGCAATAAAAAAAACCTGCTGGGTGGGGGCAGGGTGATATTTATGAGGTACATTTTACAAGATTATAGATGTCTTACTTAAAAAAAAATCTGCTAGATTTTGTCAGCCATTTG